CCCCCCCGCGCCGCCTGCGCCTGCTTCCGCCCCTGGGAACGCGGCCCGGACCGGACATGCGACGTTCCCTCGAACTAAGGAGGCCGCCGGAGAGACGAGGCCGCCGAGCCCGCTCGGACCTCTGCCCCGAAGCGCTTGCAGTGCGAAACGCGGAGCCCGCGCGGGAGGGAGCGCAGGGAGGGGAAGGGAGAGCGCCAGGCCACGGGAGGCGCCTTCTCCGCCTTCTTCCGGGGGGGGGGGCGGGGGGGCTGAAGGGGGCGCAGAGCAGGGGGGGGAGGGGGTGGCCCGTGTCTGTCAGTCCCCAGCGAACCTCTAGGAAGAACGCGGCCCGGGTCGAGTGGAGCAGGAGGCGGTGCAGGCGCGTGAAACGGGACGCCAGGCGGGAACCGGCCCTGGCCAACGCCGGGAAAAGCCGGCGGGGCACCTGCGGGGGCAAAAGATGGAGCCCCGTGCGCGGGACGCATCCTTCGGGGGGCACAGCTCTGCCTGGAGCAAGCCAAGCCCCTCGGGCAGGGCCCAAGTACTCTGTCCGCGCAACGGTGTGCTCTTTGGGGGGTCCTGGGGAAAGGCACCCACCTGGCACCTCAGCTTCAGTGGAGATGCAGGACCCCCCCCCCCCGTTCTACCTGGCGATGCTGCGGTACCCAACCTGGAACCTCTTGTGAGCGCCAGGTGGGCTCCATGTGGAGACCCCCCCCCCCCGCCCCCGTGGAAGGCAGGAACTGGCTCAGTCCCACCTGGGCGATCACAGGGTCTGCCCCCTTTCTCGCCCCGGATGAAGACACCAGGAATCGGCCCGTCCCCCTCCCTACCCACTGCAAAAATATTTGCGCAGGTGGATGATAAGAGAGGAGGCAGGTTTGTCTGAAGGGAGCAGAAGACTTTGGCCCCACAACGCCGGAGAGCAAAGTTCGGGGCCAGGAATGGGAGGAGGAAGGGAGAGGTGGATCTAAGCCACCCAGGACCTGAGAGGAGGAGGAGGCCTCGATGAAGCAGTGGGAGCCATCTTAGTTTCAGAAAGATGTCCAGGGAGGCACATCTCAGAGTGGGGAGGGCTGCAGCTGCCAGCCCGTGGGGACAACGGGGGGCTGGATGGCCCCTCGGCCACCTCTGTTGGGCAACTGCCAGCGTTCCCGTTTAAATCATCCCTGTGTTCAGAACCATGGAGGACTAGAATCTTGCCTTCTGCTTTGGGGGACACCAGCTGCTCACTGGCGGAAAACCAGAAGCGACCAGTTCCAGTCCTGAGGGAGGGCTGGCACCCTGGGGGACTTCTGTCCGTCTCGGCAAGATCGGTCTCCAGCCCAGCGCTCTGCAGAGGTGCTGGACTACGGCTCCCATAATCCCCTCCTGCACACGCGTGGTGCTTTACTTGCCGGGCGACGCACATCAGTAAACAGACGAGGAGGAAGGGGTGCGGAGTCAGCTGGACTGGCTCGCCGTGGCCTTTCAGATCCCTGTGCACTTAAAATACCGGCAGTCGGACCCCCAGCGGAGCTCAGCCAAGGCGCCCAGACCCGTGACCGTGTTGTCTCTGCAGATGGAGGGGGACAGGCTTGCCGTGCCTCTGGGCATGGGCGAGCGCGTGGAGCGCAGCAGCATCTCCTCCGCCGGCCCCCGAAGTAAGTGCCAAGCAGGGACAGGGCAGCTCGGGGGGGCTGGGGGCTGGGGGGTGTTGTGGTTAAAAGTGCTGGCCCGGCTCTAGTCCTCAAGAAACCCACGGAGCAGGTTTGAGCCAGGCACTCACTCGGCCCGGCCTACCTCACAGGGTTGTTGCTATGAGGGCAGACTGGAGAGGAGGAGAACTTGTGAGCCTCTGCGGGTTCCTTGCAAGGAGGGAAAAGGCAATGCGATAATAAGAAAAATGTCTCGAATTGGTGCTGGAAGGAGCAGAAACTGGGAAGCTGGGCCCTTAAAGGTCCTTCAGAGCGTTGAGTCCTGCCCATTGCCCGTCCAGCTGCCACACTTCTGGTCGGTAGCGGTTCTGTCCCTTGCCTTCAGCCTGGACTGAATCGGGTTCTCTGCTCAGAAATGTGGAGCGGGGGCCCGAGTGGGACTCCTGCTTTCCTGCGCAGCAAAGGGGGTGTCAGGGCCTCCCCAGCTGCAGGAGGGAATGGGGGGAAATGATCCAGGGGAAGAGGGGCCGCTCTACCCTTCTGGGCCTTTCCCCTGCTCCAGCCCAGGACGTCCTGGTGTACCTCGTCGACGACACGGTGGTGCGGCTAACCGTGGACAACCTGCCCTCGGCCACGGCCCACGAGCTGCACCGGATTCTGCTGGCTACCTTGAGGCTGCCCGAAAGCGCTCTGGAGATATTCTCGCTGTGGCTGGCTTCCCCCTTCCTCGGTGAGTCCGCTCGGCCCTCTCCAAAGTGCCCCCGAGCGAGGACCGGATTCTTTGCCGCTGTACCGTGCAGGCAGCGCCCGCGCTCAGCCACAGAGCCTCTCCCTGGTGCCTGGCGGGCCCTGGGGGCTCCCGCAATGCCCCGCCAGCGTGGCCATCGCTCCCATCAGCCCCGACCCAAAGGGCACGCGAGCCGTCCCTTTTTCCGTCTTCACAACAACTCTGAGAGGGAGGGCCAGCATGGTAGTTTTACTTATTATTTATTTGTGTGTTTCTCAAAAGTTTTTCTAACCCACCCGCCACTGGCTTCTCGGGACAGCTTGCTGTCGTTTCGCCTTCCCTGGCAGCTCACGGAAGTCGTCTTTCGGGGCCCCTTGTGCAGAATTCCAGCCCTTCTGCTTGCGTTTTCTCTTCATTGCTGAATCTCTCCAGGCCTCCTTTCGAACAAATGTTCGAGGCAGCTTGAAACTGAAGGAAAACAAAGCACACTCATAGCGTTGCGGAAAATACTATCAGTACCCTCTGAGCTGGGATCGCGTGTGGAAATACTCGCCTTGGTTATGGCCTGGCGTCAGAATAGAGTGGAGCTTCCCAAAGTTTGGGGCTTGCAGAGCACGTCTTGAGTTCGGTGGCTGTCTCGCGAGGTCTTTCACAAAGCAGCGGCCACGGGGGCTCCGTGTCGACCCCTCAGTCGGTTGCCTCAAGTGAGTCATTTCCCAAAGGAAAAAGCGACAAAAACCTCAGTGGAGTCTGAGCTCCAAATTGCAAAATCCACTCTTTTTGACCCAGAATAACGATGGTGGGAACACTTTGCTTTGAAGCATGCCAGCCTTCTCGTTAATGCTTTGAGGGTTTCACTGAACACCCCCCCACCACACACACACACACACACACACACAAAACCCTAAAATGGGGCAAGACAGGGAAACAGACGTGACTTTGGAGCACCTGGAACTAGATTTTCCATGGTCTCGGCTCACTATGCCTTGCCTGCTGCCGATTTTCACTTTAGCCTGTATTCCAGGATACGATGGGATGGTTGGAACTCGAAAAATACAGATCCCAGTCTCTGGCTGCGTGTCTCTTTCCTATAAAATGATTTGTCACTTTTGCTTTGCTTGTTTGCAGCTTTAACATGGGGCATGTTAGGAAAACCTGGCTGAGGCAGGGAAAGACGGCACGAGGAAGATCCAGGCACAGCAAAACCTTCCCTGTGCCGTGAGGGTCTGGCCCCTTCCTGGTGCCTACACCGTCCCTGAGGCGGGAAGGGTTTCTCTGCCCAGGGGTGGTTGAAGCCGCAACGGTGAGGGTGAGCCGCAAAGGACAGACTGGACTTGCACGTGGCGCTGGCTGGAGCCGGGGGTCAGACTAGATGGCCCCGGAGGACCCTTCAGACTCGCTCTGTTTCCATGTTTCTATGCTCTTTCCATCTTGCAGAAGTGCAGCTGAAGCCGAAACACCAGCCCTACAAGGTCTGCCGGCAATGGCAGGAACTGCTCTTCCGATTCACCAGCTGCTCCTCAGATGAGATACTCGAAGGTGTGGAAGTGAGCGGAGTCGCGGGCTTCCTCCCCCGGTCCCGGGGCTTGCCGTTCTTCCCCTGGAGTCTTGGACGGGCAGCCTCACTCCTGCTTCTTTTTCTCTCTGGTAGATGAGCCTTCGCTACAGTTCCGAAGAAACATCTTCTTCTCAAAAAGGAAGGAAATGCAGGTGAGTCGGTGTGGAAACAGGTGTGGTGGCTTTGTGGTCAGTTCGGAAGTGCGCGAGTTCGTTGCACAGTCCACAGAGCCGCAACCCCTGGAAAAGCCCCGAAACATCAGGCGACGGTCGCAACAAGCCGCTCCTGCCCGTTTCATCTTCACCAGGAGATGAAATTTGGTAAAAGGCAAAAGCCTGAATTGCCCATTCAAGGCTGAAATGCTTCGCACGATGGCAGAGAGCAAGATATTGTTGTGGGAAATCCGTTTCTCCTCCGCTTTATTATTATTGCTGTGGATTATTGCTATGCTCTGGGGGAGGAAGGGAATGTGAGGGGGTGACACAAATGCCGGGAGCCCTGCTGGTCCAGACGCGTCGCTGAAGCGTCCTTGTGAGCCTGGCCTCTGTCACACGGCTGCGCGTGCAAAAGGATTTGGAGCACAAAGGAGGTGGAATTGCCACTCGACTGCCCCAAGGACTCGTCACAAATGGGTGCAGCACGGAGGACTCCCAGGCAGACTTCCAAGCGCTCTCTCTCGACACGGACCGTTTTGCGAGAGCTGCAGCGTGGCCGTTAAAGGTGCTCACGCCAGCGACCTTAGCCCTGCCGGGCTCCTCGGCCCTGCGTCCCTCACAGGGTGTGCCCAGGAGACGTTCTTCCTGGAGGCAGGAGAGGATTACGGCAGGAAACGATTCCTCTTCCGCTCCTCTGGGTATCCCTTTCCGGATCCTGATGCCGTTTGCTTTGTGTGTCCTTCTTTCCTTCCTTCCCGGCGCCCCAAGATCCAGGACGAGGACATTCTGCGGCTCTTGTACGAGGAGGCCAAGTTCAACATCCTGGAGGGGAGGTATCCGTTCGACCTGGTGGACTGCGAGGCACTGGGGGCCCTGGTTTGCCGGGTGAACTTGGGCCCCTACGACCCAAACCTGCACACGGCCTTCTTCTTAAAGTAAGTGGGGAGTGGGCCGTTTGTGGTCCTGGAATCCGTGGGGCTTGGACGAGGGGTCTTCATTGTGGGTGGTGGGCCCAGCCCTGGATAGGGCTTGGTGGGGGCACATGCGCTACGAGGCATGGCCTCCTCTGAGAGCCACGAGGTGCCCGCCAGATGTTCTGGACTCCGACTCCCAGCATTCCTGGTTGCCGGTCCTGTGGGCAGGGCCTTCTGGGAGCTGAAGGCCAGAATATCCAGAGAACTATCTTCTGCCCACCCTGGGTAAAGCGTGGCCCAGAGGTGGGGCGAGGAGAACCTGAGGAGAATTCTGCAGGATCAAACCAAGGCCCACCTTGCCCAGCGCTCTGACGCCTGCAGGAAAGCCACAGGCGGGATGGGGTCAAGAGCACCCTCACACCCATGTTCCCCGTGCCGTCGACGCCACAGGGGCCGGGATCATTCCTCTAAGGGCAGCTCTTCTTCCAGGGAGCGGCTGGACTCCTTCCTGCCTGCCCACCTGTGCCGGAGAGGACACGGGCTGCTCGCGGCCCTGTGGAGGCGTGGGGGTGCCCGCCCCCCCGCCGACGAACAGGGCCTGCTGCGCGCCTTCCGGGGGGTGCCGGAGGAGGGCGCCTGCGAAGCCCCCCTGCCCCTGCCCAAGCTGTACCGCGCTTACCTGCAGAAGTGCCACGAACTGCCTTACTACGGGTAGGTGGGGGTGGGTGGGGGGGCTGGATCCAGGGGCAAAGCGTGCACAAGGGGTGCGGACGAGAGGCAGGGCGGCGGAGCCAGGGCGCAAACAGCCCCTTGCGCCCCCACGGCCAGGGAACGGAGCCAGAGAACCCGCCCGGAGGAGGCCGGGTTGCAGGAGGTTCTGCCTCGGCTCCTTCCAAGCTGCGGCGCCCTTGGCTGGCTGCCCCGCTCGCGCACGGTCTGCATGCCCCCTTTCTCTCTTCCCCCCCCCCCCCCCAGATGTGCCTTCTTCTCCGGGGAGATAGAGAAGCCGGCGCAGGGCCTGCTGCACCGAGGCGGACGCAAGGCCGTGATGGTCGCCATCAGCCTGGAGGGCGTGTACATCATTGACAGCAAGGAGAAGGTAATCGGGAGGGCCGGGCCTGCCTGTGGCACGATTGACTCCAGAGGTGGCCTGGAGACATTCAGCTCTGCGTCTGGCGGGAGGCAAAAGCCGCGTCCCAGTAACACCGACAGCGGCTGCTTCTCTCTCTCCGGCAGCATGTTTTGCTAGGCCTGCGCTTCCAGGAGCTGTCCTGGGATCACACGTTCCCCAGTGAAGAGGAGCACATCCTCTGGCTGGAGTTTGACGGGGAGAACGAAGGCATCCCAGTCAACAAGTTGCTCAAGGTCTACTCTAAGCAGGTGGGTGCCAGCCATCCCAGCCATGTGCTTTGCCGGGTTCAGCTCCCAGTGTGGCTTGGAGTATTTACTTATCTCTGTCAAAGAGTCTGTTTACCCCAGTCCTCAGCCCAAAAGGAGCCGCTGGAACAGAAAGTCACGAGCTTCTAATCTCAAAAGGCACGGCTTGCAAGGAAAAATATCTGGGGAGGGAAGAGGAAAAGTAGTCACGCCTTTCAGCAGAACTAGTGGCGTGGCTCCGCTTCTCAATCTGTGTAGCCTGCTGAGTTGGCTGGTGGTGGGAGGGGATCCTTCAGGACGTGGCCCCAACAAGCACGACTTTTCTTAAACATGGTGCATCTCTTGCCTCGAGTGTCTGTGATTCCCAAGGGTGTGGCCAGTCCTTCCACATCTCCAGTTCCTTGATCCAGACTGTCCCGGGGGACCTGCTTGGCTCGTGGTCGGGGAGGGAACACCCAGGGCTGCTCCTTCTCCCCCTCCAGGCTGAACTGATGAGCGGGCTGATCGAATTCTGCATCGAGCTGAACGCGGCTGCCGAGGGGATGGAGCACGACCCCGCTGCCGGTGCAGCCCCGTCCTCTGAGGCCCAGCATCCCCCGTCTGACAGGCAGCGCCCCAAACTGCAGCGCCAGAACAGTGTCCTTCGCAGCCGCATCCAACACCTTTCCACCATTGACTACATTGAGGACGGTGCGTTGGCACGGAGAGGCCGGCAGGGGTCAAGAGCGGCAGCATGAATTCCAGTTGGGGAGGGACCATCCCTTTCGGGGCCTCTTGTGCAGCTCTGCTGGGAACAGGATGCTGGGATTCGTGTGCCCTTGATTTGTTCCAGCAAAGATCGAAGCTGCCAGCCCGGGTCCAGACCCTTGGTCCATCCGACCCAATATTGCTGACACAGGCGGGCAGCGGCAGCAGCTCACTACGCTTTTAGGCAGGAATTTTTCCAGCCTTCCCTAGAGGTACCAAGGAAAGAACCAGGACATTCCACATCCTGAGCAAGAGTTCTGCCTTGACTTACGGCTCCTCCCGCACAACTCGGGAAACTTGCTCCAGCTGCATGCCCGTCTCGCTTTACAGGGCCCGCCCTGCCGGCAGCATCGCTCCGAGGGTCCAGACAGGTCCTTTCCCAGCCCTGCTGCCTTGGATCCCTTAAGAAAAGACGAGCAGGGAGCGTGTTGCGGACAACCCTGCTGCGCTGCCAGGGCTCTGTCGCTCAGCTCCATTCTTGGTCCATCTGGCCCAGTACTGCCATCACGGACTGGCAGCAGCTGCTTCCAGGCAGGATTCCTTCCTCATCCCACCTGGTGATTCTGGTCATCGAACCAGGGACCTTCCCATGCAGAGCAGCTCCTGAGCTGCACCCCCGCCTTCTCCTCGGGGAGGCCTGCTGATCACTATTCGCCATGGGAGCCCTACTGGGACCTCCCCAGGCAGGGGCAGTCTACCTTGGAGGGCACAGAACACCAGAGAAAGCAGCTGTCTGTCTGCCCTGCTGCTTAGATGCTGGAGCAGATGGTCTGATCCAGACCCAGAGCAGCCGGTCCTGAGTCCTAGCTTTGCCGCTGTCTCCCTCTTGCTCCAGGGAAGGACATCAAGAGGGTGAAGCCGCGCCGGACAACCTCCTTCTTCGGCCGCCAGCTGTCCAATGCTCCCACCTCCTACTCCGCAGTGCGGGCGGTAGAGAACCTGGAGCAGGGGTGACCCCCTTCCAGCCGCGGGCATCGACGGGACCAGCCGACCTGAGCAGAAGGGGGCGTGTGCTGGGTTCCCCCCGGGTCTCCTCCACCGTCTCCCACCTGCCCTCCCGTTCGTCTCCAGTCTGCTGTGCTGTTGTTGTTCAGCCTGGCTCTTGCCCCCGGTGGGCTGCAGCTTGGATGAGAGGAACGTGCCTCATCACACGTCACTGGGATCCCCCGGCGGATCGTTTCTGGCGTGCACAGAAGGTGCTTCAGGGATCTGCGCCGCTTCCCCTCCCTCGTCGCCCTGCCTCCAGGTGCTGGACTGCCCTTTCCCCAGAGCGGCCAAATGCCCCTTCGTCTCCAGCCCAGCCTCTCCTCGCCAGCGTCTTCCTGGAGCCAAACCGCATCCCAGGACCTGTGGAGGAATCTTCCCCTGGCAGTGCCGGAAGGGGAAAAGCTGAGCCGCACCCCGTGGGGAAACCTGCCCCAGGCGCAGCCTCTCCCTTTGGTATGCCCACCTCTTGCACTTAGAGCCTGTTTCGCAGGTCAGCTGCTTGTTGGCTCTAGCAAGCGATTTTCCTGCCACCAAGGAAACATAGTCTTCCTCACATGCAGCTTAGTGACGAGGGACCAAGAGGGGAAATGCTGTGAATTTTGGGGTTTCTCATTAAAAGAGATATTTTTTAATAAATGGTGGTGGGGAAATAAAACTTTGCTTTGCTGCAGGAGCCTCCGGAAGGCTGTTTGGAGGCTGAGAGAAACGTTTGCCTGTGAAAGCACCGGGTTGCGCTTCCTGGACGCACCTCCGCGCAGCCCCTAATGTTCGTATTTTTCCTGTTCTGCTCCCTTGCGGCAGCCAGAGCCCGCCTAGAGGGCCTCTGTAAACAGGTATCCAGGAGTGAGATGGTTTGCAGGGCTGGGTGCTGGATCCGAGGGGTGGCTGGGGCCATTTTTCCTGCCTACACCTGCCCTGGATTGTGTCCTTGGGTCTTTAAGCCATGTTCTTCTAAGAGTCATGCAATCCATGGGTAGAATTGAGCTGTTTCCCCACTTTTTATTATTTCTGTTTGGCTGTCTCTGAGAAGGCCACATCTGTGTTTGCCGTGGGGGGGGGGGGGGGGGGGAATCACGCTGCACACCCTTTGCCACTTTTTATGTATATCCCAGAATTGTGTGCTTTCTGCAGGATTCTCTGCTACAGTCAGAGAAATCGGCATCTCCCCTCCTCAACCTCCATGAAATGGGCTACTGGGAAAACTCCACAAGGAATTCCTTGAGTTGATTTGTTCTGCACTGGGATAGGCTCTGCCATAAGCAGGGGCAGTTTCTTAGCATGCATGTGCTATGCTTCAGTTTTTGGCAGTTTGCTGACGTCCAAAGAGCTCTTCCTGAGCAGTGGGCGCCCTGTGAACCTAAGAAGGCACCGGCTCTTCTTTCTGGACCTGTAATGCTGCCAACTGCCCCTTGTGCACTCTGTTTTTTCACGCCAACCCTCTCCTTCCACCCCCACAACCTGAAAAGCATTGCTGGAGATTTTTAATCACGTCTTTCACAGTCGGGTCCAAACCTTTGCATTCCCCTCTGGTGCTGGACCTCTGCACCCGGGACACTACTCGGACAATGATGCTGTCAAAAAACGATGCACCGGATTAACAAGCACCCCTTTCGTTGAGTTTGTCTCGATTTCCAGAAAGTGCTCTCCCTGGGCCACCCCGAAGCAACACTTTCCAAAGTGCCTTTTCCTAATCTCAGTGAAGCGGACTCTCAGCCACACTGCAGAGGGCATTGCTCATAGCAATAAAGACCATGAATTTCACTGTGCGTTGCATCTTTTAAGTCTTTGCGCTTTGATTTCTTCTTGCCAGAGCCTGAACGATGGGAGGCTGGTGCAGCCTGAGCACAGAGGCTCTGCTGAACTGTCCCCTGCCCAGTTGGGAGCCGGCGACCCAACAAAGCAGGCTGCACAGGTTCGAGGAAGACCCGGAATTCTGTGCATGGGATGTTACTGGAATGCGACTCGGTTTCTCAGGAATGGTTCCAGGTTGCCTTCCCAGATCCAACCTGAAATGGCCCTCTCCTCTTCCTTTTTCTGCATAAGGTGCCCCGGCATGATTTTGGTGGTTGGAATGTGCTTAGCAGGGGCAGAAATGATGAGCTGTGCAGAAAAAGCTACTCAAGAACAGCTTTTTCAGAATCGCCCTCTTTTCCATGGAACTTTACCCCTATATTAGGGTTAGGGGTGAGCGCCAGGGTAGGGTTAGGGTTAGAAAAACGAGGTGTCCTGGCATGGTTCTGATGGTTGGAACGTGTTTAGAAGGGGCAGAAAAGTTGAGATGCGCAGAAAGAGCTACTCAAGGACGGCTTTCTCAGAACTTCAGATGGACTGGGGGCGAGTTGTTTTTTCTAAAGTAAATCCTTAGTTTTCAGGTTGCATTGCGGTGTTGGCACTTTGCGGTCCCTAGGTGGGTTTTGGGTTGCAATGTGGGCACTCGGCCTCTAAAAGGTTCGCCATCCCTGGTTCGTGACGTCCTGGCTCGACCGTGGCTCAGCGTGTCCCTCCCTCTCTGGTTCAGGCGCTCTGCCGAGGCCCGGAGGCTTCCCAGAGGCTCCAGCAGGCTCTGCTTGCCCAGCCCCTCCAAGGAAGAAGGGGGTGGCCCAGGATGCTGAGCCCACTGGGCTGGCTTAGCATGCCATGCCAGCCGAGCACAAGAGGAATGGAAAATTCCAGCCTGCCTCCGCTCGGCCAGGCAGGTGTGGCCTTGCACAGCCAGGCTCCGATTTCGGTGCTACGCAACAGCCAGAGTGCTGGGTGGGGTGGAGAGAGGCCCGGCGGAAACGCGCATGTGCCGGCGGTGTGTTTGCATTGCTCGTCCAGGACGAGTGTCTGGGCAGCCCGTGGGGTGTATGGGGTGCTGAATTCGGACTGTGCCGAATTCGTGGGGGCAGCGCTGGGATTCCTCTCTGTCATCCCACGCTTTCCAGCGAGAGTAGCCATATTCAAAGCACCCAGGAACACGCACTTCTGCAGCATTTGCTATTTTTCATGTATAGATGCACCTTCTTAAAATAGGTTTTATAGATGAAATGCAGGGCCTTGCAGCTTAGAGCCGGAGAGGGACAGCAGAACACACAGAATAGAAGACACCTTCAAATAGAGGACTGTCCGTAAAAGAAAACACAAGGCCACCGTGTTCACGACCGATAACTGATGCCTGATAACTCTGAGCAAAAGCGAAAATAAGCAGGGCAAACAGACAAGCCGCCCTCCTTGCCAGCCCTTGCATGATGCATCCTTCAGAGAGAGATTCTTTTAAAGACGGACACAAAGACAATTCAAAGCATATGCATTATTTTGCATGGTCCTTTTTGGATTTTTTTTCCCAGTACAGAACTCTACACTTTGCCCCATCACCCAAGCAAGGACACCTCCCTGAATTTTTCCAACAGAAAACAATAAAAAGATGAAAGTTTGTGTCTGCATGTGCACAAAAACTCACGTTTCCATCCTTACCTTTTTTCTTTTGCAGCTGCACAAAATGTATCCAAGTTTACATTAGAACCAACTTCTGATAAGATACCCACCTCTGTGCATTTTGCAATAAAGTCAGAGAACTGGAAACAGGGTTGAAACATTTTAAAGCACAGCTAGAAACAAAGAAACAAGGCAAAGAGATGTCCAGAGAATGTTGATCTCATAATAACCAAGTGCTGTGGCAGCTCAAAATAGAAACTTTTTATCTTTAAAAGGGCAGCCAGGCAGGATCAGGGAATAACCTGAAAAGGACCGGTGTGTTTTAATACAGAATATGAAATTATTTTTCCACCTGGAGAACAGGTGGCAAGCCCGCGGTGGTGCAGAAAGTACGAGGGGACTATTTTCCCCACTGCCTCCGTGCTGCGGCGGAGAGATCCAGGTGGGCTGCTTGGAAGTGTGGCGGCCAGTTTAGGCCTTCATAAAGGGGGGAGCGGCCGCTGCGAGGCATTGCAGGGGAGGGGGCCGCAGGGGTGGCCATGGGAACCAAGGCTCCCGAGACCCTCCCTGGGTGGGCCGGGAGGCGGGGAAGGGAGTCGCGGGAGAGCATCAGACCTCTTTGCTGGGCAGCAAGGAAAAGGCACTTGCCATGTGGTACAGCCCCTCCCGGGAGGAGCGGGGAAGGCAGGGCGTGTGGAAGGGTGTTGGTAGGACAGAGGGAAGGTGCATTTCTAGAACCCCCCCCCCCCGGCAGTAGCCGCAGATAGGAGGGGGTTGGCTGGTGGCGTGTGGGGAGGCAGGCTGTGGGGGGCGCGCGGAACCTCTCGCGGTTTTCTCTTCCAGATGGCGAGGCTTCCTGGAAGGTCATTCCCTGGTCTGAAAGACGGCCCTGTTCTCTTGCACCCCTTCTGTCTTCGTCTCCCGGTTGCTTGCAGGCGACGGGTAAGGGAACGCTGGAGTGAGGCGGCTGGGCCCTCTGGCATCTCAGCATGCATGCAGCACCAGCAACCCCAGACCACACAGTTCGGGGGGGGGGGGGCGCCCTAGTGACTCGCATCTTTCGGAAGGTTTGCAGGCGCTGCCTGGATTTCCTGGTGGGCACAAGGCCCCGGGCTTTTCTCGCTGCCTCCTCCGGACGAGGGTGACACCCTAGTTTTAAAAAATAAAATCCACTGCAGAGCACGGTTCCAGCTGGGTGTGACCAGCCCCCAACTCCCCGCCACGACTGAACCGCGTTCTCAGAAGAGATGGTCAGTGGGGAGCCCCGAAAAGAAGTTGTGGGGGGCGGGCAGGGGGGAGAGAGGCAGCGAGGGGACAGTGGCGTTCCGGCCACCTCTGCTTGAGAGCCTTTTTACAAGGCAGTCCCAGCACACCCCGGGCCTTGCAGGCTTTGAAGCTCCCAGGCACGCCCCGTCCTCAGTCGCTTCTCCCGCCCCCATGCGCAAGGCCTGGCCCCTTTTCTCTCCCGCCCCCATGCGCAAGGCCTGGCCCCTTTTCGCAAGCCGTGTGAGGCGCTGGGGATACGCTTGGGGCTTAAAGAACAGGCTACCTTAATGTTCATTTCAGTCTGCTCCGTAAAATTGGAAGAAACAGAAGGAAAGATTTGCCTTCCCGAGTTTCTGCTCTCACGGCCTGGACACATTCCTGTAATTGCAATAAGGATCTGCCAGGACACTCCATACCCAAGTGCACCCAAAATACAGTGATGGAGCAGAGAAGAGCACTCGGTGTTTGCCGGCCTTCTCCTAGGAACAAAACTGCCCTGCCGCACAAGCAGGGCGTGAATGTGGCACCCGAAGGGAAAGGACTTTGGCTTTTGGCCGGCTGGTGAAAAAGACTGATCGCGCCTTCCAACAAAGGAATGTTTTCCGCTTGCTGCTATGAGGCAGATCAAGGCAGTGAACTGGGGGTGGAGATGGGATGAAATAGAGCAAAACGTGCCAGAAACAGGGGTGGGTTGGTCGATGGAGATGATCTGGCCACTATTTGAAGCTGCCCTGCCTTTGTTTACTGCTCTGTATCTGGCAAAATTCCCAAGCGATGACCCATGAAGAGAAAGAAAGGGGAAGAATCAACATGCGGCATTACAATCATTAAAATCAGGTTAAGCCAAGAAAGCCTCAGATGGTCAGCCTGGGAAGGTGTGTTTAAATAAGAATGCTTTTAGCAGGCACCGAAAGCAAAACATTGGCATTTTATCTGGGGTCTCCAAATATACTTCGGATGTTAGGTTTTCTACCTCCATGGTCATCCAAAAACCCAAACCAAACCAAACCCAGCTTCACTCCTCCATTGCTGAATTCTTAGCACTGAATCGGGGGCTATGATGTCTTGGATGCTGGTGAACCCCCAGTGTTTTTCCCAAAGCAAAAGACATTATTTGCTTAATCGTTAAACAAGATTCCAGATAAAGAAACCAACATAATAGGCTGATTTTGCTGTCCTTCTTTGGGAATATGGGGGACAGTTAAACCTCAAATTTGACCTTGATCTCCTCAAGTTTGTAGGTCCAGCAACTCACGCAGAATGCCACATTGTGTTTAACCCACAAACAGCAATGCTGACACCTCCACATGCCAAAATCAGACATGCATCACGGGCACAAAATGCAGACCCTACATTTGAGTTGTAATAATAGTTTGTGGATGTATAGACAAACTGGCAATATCCTTTTAAAACTGAGCAGGCGTCTGGTGGGTTAGTTCCTGGTGTGCATAAAGACGGGCACATTTTGCTAAAAATAACATGCTACACTTCTATTAACTGGACCGAGTTTGTAACACACTCCATTATTTATATATGGAGGGTGCAGTGAGCAAATAAAGATAGGTAGGTTTTTAGAAAGTGGCAAATCAAGCTGGCTTTATTTCAACACCTTCAGGGGCACCCAGTCGCCCAGACAGTGCAAATATCCAGCTGATTAGATTTGAAGGATAGGTGTTTACTTCCTAATGCGCTGAAATTGTGTGTTGAAATGACTGAAGTTTTTCAAAGGGTTGCTGGAAAAAAAGACCAAGCTGGTAAAGAAAGTTTAGGGCACATCCCTATGAACGTAGGATTTTTAAAAAATGAAACAATTCATTGTTGTAAGACATTTTTCTGACTCAGCATGAGTGAGGTTGCACCAATGTGCTGTCTAGATCAGAAGCCCTTCTTCCTGGCCCCTGATAAAACAACTCCAATAACCTTAACTTAAAAACCTTAAGCAAATTGCTTCTCTCCAGCTTTGTCATATGAAATTGCTCATTCTGGAAATTGTGATGTTTTTTTTAATAGAGGCTTTAAGCAGCCAACCCCGGTCCGTTGGTCATCCGTTTGGAGATGTGGATGGCAAAACAAGGTTTAGCTTTTTTTGACAACAGTTCCCCCAGAGTAAGCTCATTAAATTCAGTAGGTCTTGCTCTGAGTAGACATGGATCAGGTTACACTTCTAGCATAATCCCTAATTGCCAATTTCCTTGTCAAGCTAACCAGAATCATTAATCTTAATTATGGGTTATGCTAGATGCGCTCACAAATGAACTAGTCTAACAGGATTCATGCTTTATGAATCCCGGTCATTTTTATGCTGCAAGGTTTGAGCATGACAGATCAGTGACCTTGGGGCCAAGGTAGATTTTTTAAGAGATCTTAATCACCGGGCCACATGCAAGGCATTCAGAGATAGAGAGCTGTTGTAAGGAAAACTCAAAATCTTTTCAGCAGCAACAAAAATGTTTTTCCTGTGTATATCGTAGGTGCTTCTTTCCATTGTGTATGTTCTCATTGTTCTTTAATAAAGTGTGGCCAACCTCTGTTTTGCTTCAGTAATAACAATAGGGACAAGGGCAATAATCGGGACAATGACAATTTCCTTATTAATTGTATGGGATTTTTTTCCAGGCCACGTGCCCAAGGTATAATTGAGCATAATCCACGATTCCAAGGAACAGATTCTAAGAATAGATGCTAAATTAAACTAGATGGTTACGGAAGTAGCAACCTCCGTTCAGCTTTGTTTTCTCCAAAGATAAATTGTTTTTTTCAGACTAGCTGGATGTTACAATAGTGCAGGTCTCTTTCAATAAA